GGAATGCCCTATGCTAAGCGAATCTTGTGACCACAGTTGTCCTTGTTTGTAACAAACCAGACCAAATCATTTTTGTGCAATTAGGCATTCTGTAAGACTATCGTTTTTTAATCGTGTCATTTATTTGATGGTATTCCCATTACGATACTCTTCTGATCGTAATTGCTTTCAGAGGCTTGGATCTCAGGACGTTCGACACCTCTAGTTCTGATAGGAGGGCTAAAACATTAACTCCACAATGGGAATTAATTTTGGGAATGGGGTGGGGGCGAGAAAATATATAGTTGGGGGGGGTTTGTTTTACTGTAAACCGCTTTGAGCAGTGAGGAAAAAGCAGTAGTTCAGGAATATAGTAAATACATATGTTGTTTTAAACATGGGAAGTAATCCTGATATTTACAGGCATATATGGAATATAATTTTTTTTAATTTAGTCTTATCGAGTGACATTTTTAGTATGCTTCGTGCATAATCTGTGGTTCCCTTCTCTTCTTTAGGGCTGAATCCTTCTAGATTCCGGATAGGGGATCAAGAGTTTGACTCGCTGCCAGCTTTACTGGAGTTCTACAAAATACACTACTTGGACACTACAACCTTGATCGAACCTGTGTCAAAATCTAAGCATAACAATGATGTGGTCTTGAGGCAGGAAGAAGCTGAGTACGTGCGTGCTCTTTTTGACTTTAACGGCAACGATGATGAAGACCTTCCGTTTAAAAAAGGAGACATCCTGAGAATCTGGGAGAAGCCTGAAGAGCAGTGGTGGAATGCAGAAGACAGTGAAGGAAAGCGAGGGATGATACCAGTCCCGTACGTTGAGAAGTATAGACCGGCCTCTACTTCAGTATCTGCTCCAGTTGGAGGTAACCAGGATAGTTTCCACCCACAGCCATTGGCTGGGCCGGAGCCGGGTCCCTATGCCCAGCCCAGCATCAACACTCCGCTCCCCAACCTCCAGAATGGCCCAATTTTTGCCCGGGTTATCCAGAAGCGGGTCCCTAATGCCTACGACAAGACAGCCTTGGCTTTGGAGGTACATAATGGGCAAAAATGTAGTGAGAAGAGATTTGTTCACGAGTTTTGTCTTTCTAATACCTGGCATTTGCGAGGGGTTAGGGATCCTCTCACTGTTAATGGAAATGAGTAATGCGGGCTTTGTGGGGTTTTTTTAAATGTGTTCAAGAAGGAAGAGTGGGACTTTGGGGCATAATTCCTATCCTTGCTACAAGCATGGTGCACAGCAGTGCTTCTCTCCCATGTCTCCTCTTATATTGTCTGCAGTGTTTGACATAACACTTGTTTGTATCGGGGGAGGGTGTGGATGCTTTGGTGTGTTCTGTTCTGTCTTCAATTCCAAGAAGCGGAGAGCATCCTTCAGTTCATATGTGAGTGACACTTTCTGTTTCAAGAGAAGTTCATCTCACTCCCACACCCTGCTGGAAGTGTGTTGTTCTCTGGTGTGAGTTGAATCAGTGCAGCTTTGAATGCTTCCTGAAAATGCTGAGGCACCCGCTATTGGGGGGCAGCTGATTCCAATAGCAAACTTTGGGTGTGCTACTCTGATCTGTCTTGCAAGCAGCTCCACTCTCTCTGGGAATCCCTGACTGAGTATCCAGGTATTATTGCTGCAACTGATATTATTGCATGCCCCAAGCGTGCCGCTGAAGGTGCAGTTTGTCTGCAGCCAATGAGCAAAACTGCTTCTGTCGTCTTACCTTGGCCAGGTTGTACAAAGTGGGGACTGTGACACTTGTCCATCATTATCCCAGGATTATAGTGAATGCATTGGCTCTTTGGTGCCTTAGAACAGAACTATTTTAAAAATCTGGGGTTTATTTTTCAGGCTCTTTAAAGCAAGATGCAATAATGTCTATAGCCTTGAATGTTGCCCCCCCCCCCCTCGCATCATATTTCTGGAGAAGAGAATAACATGTCAATTTTGTCGTCTGCTGGGTTAGAGTCCTAGTGTGTGAGCTTATTGCAGTAAATTAATAAAATATAGGCCTCTGAGGGAGAAGGCACGAGAGTTGCTTGTAGGAGCCCCGGAGTCCTGAAAGTAGCAGTGTAGGTTTGCAGAAAATAGGGCTGGTGGCCTTGGTCTAGAGTTGAAGGAAACAGGCCCAGAGCAGGGAACTGCAAGCTGCTGTCCTCCCCTGCTGGCTCAGGTATCCTGGCCTAAAGTCCGTTGGAGGTTGTAGATCATATTCGGTGCTGAGTGGTCACTGGTTTAATGCAGGCAGTGGAATGAACTGGTTTAAACTCCAGATCTTAATTGTGTTGGGGATGCAGGCTGTTTGTTGAAGTGTCTTATTCCTGCTTACTTGGCACAGATTCCAAATGTCTTCATGGGCCTTTTGAACAGCACTGCAAAACAGACCTGAGGGACTCTATCATTGATGTGGCCTTCTATGTATGGACTGGTAAATTCCATTTCACTGTACCTGAGGAAGCGTCCATGCACACAAAAGCTCATACCTTGAATAAAACTTTGTTCGTCTTAAAGGTGCCACCGGACTCAAACTTTGTTTTGCTGCTCCAAACCGACCAAACCAAATACCCACCTGGATCTATACTGATGTGGCAAGTCGCTGTTCTTGCCACATCAGGAAGGCTGGTTTGCCATGCCAAGCCACCACCCCATAATCAGTTTCTCACCCAGTTTTGTTGCTTTGGATGCCTTATGTGGAATTGTGGCCGTGTCTGAGTAGCCATTCAGGGAACAATGACTTAACAGTGGTATCTTTCTTGGTCTGCAGGTTGGAGAGCTAGTAAAAGTCACGAAGATTAACATGAGCGGCCAGTGGGAAGGAGAGTGCAGTGGCCGACGAGGTCACTTCCCATTCACCCATGTCCGGCTGCTCGACCAACAGAATCCAGAGGAAGATTTCAGCTGAGTATGGCTCAACTGCTCTGCTTACAGATGGGAATAAACACACAGTGTTTTACTGCGGCTGCAAAATAGACAGTTCTTCTGTCTAACCAGTGCTTCATCAAGTATCCTGATATGCATAAAATCTCCCCAGGACCGAACACCACAATTCCTTAAACAAGACTTGTATCTTCGGGATACCAAGAATCTGTGGCTTCAAAGACATCGCCTTCCCACTTGCAGTAGGATGGAGATAGCTATGGTGGATTCTTGTTTCTGGCTTTCCCTGATCCCATAGCTTCCTCTGTAGGCAGAAATCCTGAATGGTTAGTAGGACACTTGCAAGTTGCTAACCTTGGAGCTTCCCTTCTTTGGATAAGACTCCTCTTGTAATGTCTGTTATAACGGCTTATTGCATAAATAATGCACAGTGCAGGTAATATTTTTTTTTACATAATACTGGGATAGCTGCAGCATTACTACTACCGTATTAAATGGGTTACAGACAAATCCAGTTCTCCAGAATTAAAATTTCTAAAAATTGGTCACCACAGCTGTCATAGCTAGTAGCTGATTTAATTTGAGATAACTATTCTACGTGGAGTGTTAAACCTCCCTTTCAGTGCAGAGAGCTACATTCGTTGCACTTTATGCATTAATATGTAGCGGTAGGAGCGGCTAAATCTGCTACAGAGCTCAGCACTACACTCCGAAGGTAACTTTTAACCACTGTTGGAAAGTGAGCACCTGCGAATCATGTACAGTACTCTTGCTCATCCAGTATAGCGTGACAAACGTCACTGCTGTAAACTGAAATGCCAGTTTGGTGTAGTGGTTAAGTGCACAGACTCTAATCTGGGAGAACCGGGTTTGATTCCCCACTCCTCCACTTGCACCTGGCTGGATGACCCTGGGCAAGCCATAGTTCTGATAAGAGCTGTTCTTGAAAAAGAGCAGTTTCTGTCAAGAGTTCTCTCAGCCCCACCTACCTCACAGGGTGTCTGTTGTGGGGAGGGGAAGGGAAAGGAGTTTGTAAGCCGCTCTGAGACACCTTTGGGTAGTGAAGGGCGGGATATAAATCCAATCTCTTCTTCTTCTTCTTCTTTCCTTCTAAAATTGCTGTCTGGAACGGTTCCGTTTCCATCTGTTAAGCATTAAAATGATGGCTTCACGAAGATTTTATTTTTAATAAACGAATGGAAATACTTAAATGCTTCTGGACTGATTCTGAGACATTCATGGTTCTCACACACACACACACACACACACACACACGCACAAAAGGAGCACTTTATAGCTTCCATTATTCACTCCTTGAACATGAATCTTTTTGTATTAATACTTTCCAGGCTGCTTATTAACAACTCATATCTAACAGAGATGCCCATCTAGAGGCATCTTTGCCAAAACTTGCCAGACGAGACACTTGTGACCACAGCAGTTTGTAGCTACATGTGTTATTTGTAAAAAGGGGTTTTCCTCCAAATGATTAAAAAAAAAATGTAAAATGCTGTTTGGGTCATAGTCATCATTCTGTCATTCTTTTATAGGTTAATGCTCGAAAGGCTGTTTCCTGTTGGTGGGAACATGATTGTCATGCAACGATCCAGAAAATAGATGACAGCATGTTAATTAAGAGCTGCAACCTGCTAACGATATTATTCATTAACTTTCATTTAAATGTAGTTACTTTGACTGAAGGGATCTTTAGGTAGCATCGGTCCCTGTTAGCAAACTGAATTCTGACAGTGTCAAAAAGAGTTTTGGCAAAATGCACTGCTGGTTTGGCTACAGCTAAGGCTGGAAAAGGATGTCTGTTCCAAGTGCTGAGCCTGCCTTTTGAACAGTCTTCATCATGTTTCCAGTTCCTTTCTCGTACGTTTTGGGGATTTGCTTGGGTGGGATTAATCCACTACTTACAAAGAATGTATAATTGATACCTGCTAGTCTCTGAGCTTACCAGTATCTGACTTATTTTTTTCATTTTTGCTGACGTGCAACTAACCAAGGCAGTAGAAATTTCCCTGTTTGATTGCTTCATAATGCATTCTTCCTATCCACAGGGGGTCTTTCACCCCAAACCTTTAATGTGAGGTCTTGCTAAAAATACTTGCAGCATTCATTCCAACAGATGAGCTTTAACTACATTCGGGTTTTAGTATGGAAAGGTTGGGTTGAATATATGTAGCTGCCTTATACTGAATCAGACCATTGGTCCATCAGAGTCAGTTTCATCTACTCAAACTGGTAGCAGCTCTGCCAGGGTCTCAGGCAGAGGTCTTTCCCATCACCTATGACCTGATCCTTAACTGAAGATGCTGTGGATTGAGCCTGTGACCTTCTGCAAGCCGATGTTCTACCATTGAGCCATGCCTCCCCCCCCCCATTCTTTACCTCTTTTAAAGCTGTCCATTCCTGTGGCCATCGCTACATCCTCTGGCAGCTAATTCCTTATTTTAATCACTCTGTAAAGAAGTATGAAGTCCTTAAGGCAACCCGAGTAATTTGTCCAAAATACGGAATCACGAGTAGAAAAGTTAGACTGTTATCATGAAACACAGTGTGCTGTATTTTAAATTAAAAATACCACTGTTCATCTCTGTGTGGAACGTATAGATATTCGTACCCTGCTTTCCCTGCCCAAGTGGGCGCCCCAGACGGTTTATGACATCATTCTCCCCCCTCCTCCAGCTATCCTCTTGGTAAGATAAAGATTATCAGAGCAGCTGTAGCTGCTTTGTTGCAAGAGAGGCAGATCCTTCTGTCCGGGAATGTAGCCGTGGTTAAGATGGAAGTGGAAATTAAGTAAATCTGTGTTCCTCGGGTGACAGGGAAGCAAGTCTTCACAAATGACTGAATAAAGTCATCCTCCTATACACAACTGAGAACCTCGCGCACACACCCTGCAGTAAAATTCCTTCCTTGTAAATGGCTATAAAGGTCAGCGGCGGGCTTACTTTTCCTAGAGCTACCCGATTTGTAAGGGTTTCTAATTGAACTCTGAGCAGGATCCCTGGCTGCTTCGTTTTGCTTGGTGCGTTTTTTGTGTTGCGTTAGCAGTCCGGAGGAATTATGTGTATGCTTTCTACCAGCTTTTTCGACGAGGCTTACCCTTTTCATACCAAAATCTCTGTGTTGATTAAAGTCTGGTTAAAATATTCTAATATTGCTTGTATTTTTAATCCTCCTTAATATGTCACGTTAAAGGTTTGTGGGGGAAAGTGATCGAGAAAACCAGGAAAAAACACCAGCGGTAAACGTTTACATAACACTACCTACCTTCTCGCCCATTTTTGAAGTGTGTAATCGACATGTTCATTATGCGTCAAATAAAATTTACAAAAACAGACTTTCTGACTCATTGCCTTAAACAGGGAACAAGTAGAAGTATGGCATATGTAGCTGAATGATTCTAAAGGTGCCCTGTGCTCAACTTTCACATTCTTTTAATGAGAGGCTTAGTTATTGTCTTTAAATAAAGTTATTTCTTAGTTAAACTAATCCTATCATCCAAGGACTGTGAAATCTCCCCATACTAAGTAAAGAGTTTCATATCTGCTGTCATTTTTAGCAATAAACTTAATTTCCATGGAAGTACATTTTTTTCACGTTGCTCTTATGATTGGTTTCAGACAGTTTAATATATGTGATTTATCTACTCTGGGCCCTAGTTTTGGACACTGGTCTGAAAACAGAGATTTCAGTTTAGCTTGTGCGTGCATTCCATATGCTTGTCTTAAACCCGCATATGCCGTTGTGGCTGCTATAATAGCCTGTACCACTGCTTCCCATAGAAGGACTGCCTTCTGTCTTTTGGGGGAAAGTAAATAGCAACTTTGGTGTTTAGATCCAGCTATGAACCAAAGTCACGCCATGTCTTTTATTAAGACCAACCAATATTAACACAGTGTTGCTTGTACAGTGTGTTGTATGATTCTGGTTTGTCTTAAAAGGTATTATATGGATTTTGTTTTCAGATCTTCCATTTAATGGTTCATGTAGTTCTCTGTTATAATCAGTGCTGGGTCCATGGTCAGGAAGGCATCGTTCCTACCCTGATCTCCCAGACCCTCTACTTCTGGTTCCTACAATACTCTAATTGTAGACAGAACATTGTACTGGCAAGTAGGGCTCCTAGTCTCAAGGTGGGGACTAGTGTTCTTCTGGAATGATGTCTGATATCCAGACTACAGAGCTCACTGCCTGGGAGGGGACAGCAGCTTTGGAGAGTGGGCTTTATAGTTAACGATTGAGGCACAGGTAGCAGCCACTGCCAAGTCGGCATTTTACCACCTTCAGCTGGCGCGGCAGTTGGTTCCCTTCCTCGACCGGGAGGACTTAGCCACTGTGATCCATGCGACGGTTACCTCGAGGCTAGACTACTGTAACGCTTTCTACATGGGGCTGCCTTTGTCGCAAATTCGGAAGCTGCAACTATTGTAGAATGCTGCAGCCAGGCTGTTGATGGATCTTCCTAGACGAGAGCACATCCAGCCTGTGCTGAAAGCGCTGCACTGGTTGCCTATAGCGTTCCGGGTGCGCTTCAAAGTGCTGGTTATTACCTTTAAAGCCCTATATGGCCAGGGACCAGCCTACCTAAGGGACCGCCTTTCCCCACATATGCCCCCAAGAGCACTACGGTCTGGGACTCAGAACTTGTTGGATGTGCCAGGTCCCCGGGTTATCAAACTCGCTACGACCAGGAACGGGGCGTTCTCGGTGGCGGCTCCTATCTGGTGGAACGAGCTCCCAGAGGAGATCAGGGCTCTGCGGGACCTAGCACAGTTCCGCAGAGCCTGCAAGACGGAGCTCTTCCACCAGGCGTTCGAATAGGAGCCGCCATCACCATGGTACCATCTACGCCCCAAGCCTTGTGGACAGGGTCACCAAGATGTGGGCACTTCGGAAAGAGAGTGAGACTTTTAGGAGATCGCCATCTTGTTCTTAGGAGGTGAGCACCAGATACTGCTTTGAATGTATGATGTTTTAATATTTGATGTTATTTAATATTTTTAATGTTTTTATTGTTGTACTATACCGGCGATATGCCGTGTAAGCTGCCCTGAGCCTACGGGGAGGGCGGGATAAAAATCTAAATAATAAATAAATAAATAAATCATAGAGTCTAAGAGAAATGGAAGTCCTAGAGTGGCTACAGTAGATGGATGCTGTAGGACTTCATGTCTCCTCTGGTATACTATAGAGACTAGCAGAAACTGATAGTCACCTGTAAAGATACTAAAGGCCAGAGGCGAGGGGGGGATTGGGAAAGGGTTCTCAAACACAGCAGAGACCTATTTTTCTGCTAAAGAGAAGCAGCTTCAGAGTGTTCTTCTGACTGCAAGAAAGCTTTAATTATACTGCTAATGTTTTCTCTTGCAAGAAAGGGTTTTTTTCAAATTAAAGGTCCACATTTGCATAATAAATATAGGGAGACAAAAGGAAACTGCACAGACAGTTGCTGTTTTGGGCAAAAGTTCTGCATTCATTTTCATGTCTAGTTGCAGCATTATGCTGGTCATATAAAGTATTAGAGGCTGCCTACTTATTCCATTGTTTAATATGTAACTAGTGCATGTTTACTGGGGAGAAACTCCTATTAAATTAATCGGCATTTACTTCTCAGTAAACATAAATCGGATTTGGCTGAATGGTTGGAAGCGTGAGGTTGCAAAGGGAAAGTTTCCAATATAGTAATGAAATATAAATAGTAATGAAAATGACAGCAGTATAATCATGGTGTAAATAAGTCGGACAACAAACTAACATTTGTTGTAAGAAACTTCAGTGACTGTTGTAGGCAATTATACCAGCACAAATATTTGGAATCAAGAGGAGAGTTTAACACAACACACGCATACAAAAGCCTACAAGTG